TCTGGGTAGGAGACTGGAAGAGCCTTCTCTGTTGAATGGGAATGACAGATCTCGAGATACTGAGATCAGGACTCCCCAGTAAAAATGGCCTAGACAAATCACCCCATAATTAAGTTCACCATAAACATGCCCCACTTATATGCTCTGAATTCCCATGCTTTTAATCTCTATATACTTTAAATACGATCAGACAACCAAGGATCATGACAGAGCCAAGAAAAGCCTTTAACACGTAAAGACCAAACAAAACCAATAAAAGAAATCACTAATATCTTCAGACAGGTAAGAGGATTTGCTACCAAGGTACAAGATCGGGGTGCTATTAAAACAAAAAGAATATTCCGGGAACAACAACAACAAAAAAAAGGTAACAGTTAAAGTTCAGTACAAGAGTTAGAAGATAAATATAGGGAATATTCCCAGGAAGTAAACCAAAAGAGCAAAAAGATGGAAGCCAGGAGAGAAAACGAAATAAAACTAGAGTTCCAGGCAAGGAGAGGCAGGCATACCATGGAGACATTGAGGGTTTGGTTCCAGATCACCGCAATAAAGTGAATACTGCAATAAAGTGAGTCACACCATTTGTTTCCCAGTGTGTGTAACAGTTATGTTTACACTGTACTGTAGTCTGTTAAGTGTGTAATAGCATGACGAAAAAGTTTGAAATATTGTGAGAATGACCAACATGTGACAGAGACACAAAGTGAGCACATGCTGTTGGGAAAAAGGCACCAGTAGCCTTGCTTGACACAAGGTTGCCACAAGCCTGCAATGTGTAAAGACTGCAACAGCTGGGAAGCACCAGAAAGCCAAGCAGAGTAGAATGACATGTGCCTGTATGGTATCTGGATAGTAAGAGTTCTAAGAATAAAGGACAGAAAATGGAGGGAAGGGATTCATCATGGGGAAAATAAAACAAGATTTTTTAATTCCCTGAAATGCAGGACACAAGTTTCCAGACTGAAAGGCTTGAGTACACTGCACAATGGCTGTCGAGAGGCCCTTGTGCCAAGGACTGAAGCTTATCAACAGCCACATGAATGAGCCTGGACTCAGATCCCCTTTTCCTCAGTCAAGTCTTCGGAAGTGACCACGGCCCTGGCCGATAGTTTGACCTTGAGCCAGAGGTACCCAGATGAACCTTGAGCATCTGTCTGACCCACAGAAATGAGATAATGTTTGTGGTCTTGTTGTGGTGGTGTTTTTGTGCCAGCGATAAGCTGCTAAATGTCGGGGTAGTTTGCTTAGCAGCGACACCTGAGACATACTTATATCTACACACTGCTCGTTGACTTGACTCACAGACCCTGCAGGTCGGAGCATAACTGCCCCAAATGGTTCCAAGGCTGTAGTTTTTTTTTTTTTTTTTCAAATTTTTATTGTGATTTGGGTGAAAGTTTACAGAGCAAATTCACTTTCCATACAGAAGTTCACATACACTCTGTCTCATGACATTGACTACAATTTACCCCAATGCAACAGCTCTCCTCCCACTTCCTCCCCAGAGTTACCTCTTCTCTGTGTCCATCTCTCCATGCACTCCCGTTCCCTGAGCTATGTCCCTGTGCATACACAGCCCTTCTATTCTCCCATGATTATTCTCTCTAAGGAGTTTATCTACCTAGTGTAAATGTTCATGTCATATGCCTATCTTTTGTTTGGCTTGAAGCCACAGGTGTGGGTTCAATTCCAGACCTGAAGGGCAGCTAGGGGCCATAGTCTCAGTGGTTCCATCAGGATTTATCAGACCAGCAAACCTGGTCCTTTTTTTTTTTTGAAATGATTTTGAGTATTGTTGCACATTGTTCTCCCACTCTATCCAGGATCTCCTACATAGATCCCCCTCCGAGTAGTTCACAGTGGTATCAAGGCTATAATCTTTACAGAAGCTAATTGTCACATCTTTTTTCTGCAAAGCATCTGACAGATTTGAACCACCAACCTTTTGGTTAGTAGCTGAGTGCTTAACTACTATGCCACCAGGACTCCTTATACTCACTATGCTGTTGCTGCTGTTATTTGCCGTCGAGTCGGCCCCGACTCATAGCGACCCCTCCTTGGGTTTCCGAGGCAGTATCACTACGGAAGTAGGATTGCCCAACCTTCCTTCCGAGGAGTGGCTGGTGGGTTTGAACCACCAGCCTTCTGGTTAGCAGTCAAGTGCCTTAGGCACTATGCTACCAGAGCTCCTATACTCACTATAGTACTAGTCAAAATTTGTTAACCACAGCTATCTATGTATATTATATTGTATAATTATACAATTAGGAGCTCTGGTAGCATAGTGCTTAAGGCACTTGACTGCTAACCAGAAGGCTGGCGGTTCAAACCCACCAGCCTCTTTGGGAAGGACGACAAGGCAATCATTTATGTATTTAAAGCAAGAAAATAACATTAAATCAATGGACTAAGAGCACGTTTTATATTGTCCTTATTACAGCAGTACTAGTCTCATTCCAGGATACATGTCTGTCTCCAATAAGCTCTGTAGTTACTGTAATTTTCTAATATGAAAATAGTTGGGAAGAATTGCTCACTCTCTACCAGATTGATCTTTTCATAATGTAAATCAGATCACATCATTCTCCTGCTTAAAATTCATCAATAGTTCTCCATTGGAATGGTTTCCTCACATTTCTCACCCAGCTAACTTGCTGGTCTAGACCTAGTATACACGTCACATTTTCAGGAAAGCCCTGAAGCACTCCTCTCCCCTCCATTTTCCCACTAGATCCCTCTGTTCCTTCCTTTTCTAGAATTTCAGTTTTTCTTGACTAGCACCAATTATTTATGTACAAGTTTCCCCAATGGGCTGTAAGCTCCATGAGGACAAGGATAGTATCTATTTTTTTTTTAACCCCAGTACTTCCAATGCAATTGGTAATTTTATACACACACACACACACACACACATATACACTATCACCAAAGGTTTGAACCGTTGAACTTCTGGTTAGCAGCCAAATGCCTTAACCACTAGACCAACAGAGGTACTTATAGATAGGGTGGCCTAATTTCCTCCTAAGCTTCCCAGGTGGCTCAAATGGTTAAGGGCTTGACTACTGGCCAGTTGGTTGGTGGTTCAAACCTACCCAGAGGGCCCTGGAAGACAGGCCTAGTGATCTGCTTCTGAATGGCCCCAGCCTTGAAAACCCCATGGAGTCAGTTTTACTCTGCACACGTGCGGTCACCATGAGTGGGGATCAACTCAATAGCAACCAACAACAAAACCACATCCTCCTTAAAAATAACAAACCCTTCAGGTAGTGGCTCCCTGTGATGGGGAAAAAAAAAAATCTTGCCTGAGATGTATCCTGTACCCCCATAGACCTACCCCGATCCTTTTAATCTTCCTAAATCCTTATTATTAGTATCAAAATGTCTCATCACAAAAAAATTAGAGGGTGAACTTACATTATAAAATAGTTACTTTCAGAAGGATGACAAAACCAATTGCCAGCTAGTCAACTGACTCATGGCAACCCGTGTGTGTCACAGAACTGTGCTCTGTGAGTTTGCAATGGCTGCTGCATTCAAGTCACCAGGTGTCTTCCCAGGCCCCTCTCAGTAGACTGAAAATGCCAATCTTCTTTAGCAGTGGAGTGTGCTAACCATTTACACTACTCGGGAGGGACTCCTCAGGAAGACCACCAGGCCTTTTTAAATGAAATCCGAGCTCTTGTTTGATTATAAACCATTACATACTCAGTAGATGGAGATGCCAAAAGCTCAAGTGTTCCTGGCCACTGCGAGCTGGTATCAAGCAGTAAATTTTAAATTACAGTAATTCAGAAGCAGGCAGTTTCATTTCAAACTTTTAATTTGCATTTTAAGGCCACACTTGGCAACCCTATTAAATGAATGAATGAATGATAGTAATGCCTTGGTTTGGTCACCAAGGATCTGAAACTCAATTATCTCAGCCCACCCAAACTCGCAAGAGCCTGATGTACAAACCAGTATGCCAATTAATTAGTATGTAATGACAGATACAGATTACCCAGAAGAAATAGGAGCTCTGGTAGTGTAGAGCCTAAGGCACTTGACTACTAATCAGAAGGCTGGCGGTTCAAACCCACCAGCCACTCCTCAGAAGGAAGATGGGGCAATCTACTTCCGTAGTGATACCGGCTGAGAAACCCAAGGAGGGGTCGCTATGAGTCGGGACCGACTGGCCGGCACATAAAAACACAACAACGAGGAGTGGAGATCTGGGTTCAGTTCCTGTTTTTCAGCTCCCCACGTTCTAGTCTCCATTCAGAGCATCTGCCTTCTGGTCACACAGCCTTCCTTCAGGTACGCTCAGATGTATCTGGCCAGACTGGCGTTTTCTTAGGTACATTTTAGGCCCCAGGGAAACACCGTTTCACTACTGAACTTGCATAGTCTCACATCTCCTCAGCAGAATTCAGGACAGTTAGATTGCTGTAGAAGGAGCTCTGGCGGCGCAGTGCCTAAGGCATTTGAGTGGTAACCAGAAGGTTGGCGGTTCAAACCCACCAGCCTCTTTGGGAAGGACGACAAGGCAATCCACTTCCGTAGAGACTTAACGCCTGGGAAATCCAAGGAGGGGTCGCTCCGAGTCGGAATCGACTGGATGGCAGTGGGTTTGGTTAAGCTTGCTGCACGTCTGGTCATGTTTGTGTTGACGCCTACCATCTTCATTCTCTGAGAGGACGTCGCCACAGCTCCCTGGCAGTTTCTAGCCGCCAGGTTGACCCCGACTAGAGTGTTTTCGCCGTCAGGCAAAGGGCTGGGTTACCGGTGAGCTTCTCAAATAGGAAGCCGCGTCTCCACCAGTGCCTGCGTTGACGGCAGGGGACTCTGGAGTCTTTAAATGGCCTCCTTATCTAAATGTCTACCTCCCTCAGTGGGCTAAGACCTTATCCAGCTCCGAGAAAGTCACCGCCTAGGGCTTCGGGCAAGGGACCAGTGAAAAGAGTTGCCACAGCAAAACGGCACAAGGAGGGCGGCCTCCAAAGGCTGGCTCGGCCACTCACAGGGCCCGGAGCCGAGTCTGAGGCCTGAGTTTGGGCTTCAGGGCTGTCGAGGCCTTCGAACTGCTCAAGGACTCTTACTGGGAGTTCATGAACCCGACGGCGGCAGTTCCCCTGCCCACGCTGGCGCTGGGTGACAAACCGCATAAACCCGCCCGCGGCTCGCGACCCCACGGCTCCACGCTGACGGTCTCCTCCCGGCGGCGTGAGCCGGCCTTCTGCCAGACTCCAAGATGGCTGCCGAGTGCCTCGCCCCCGAGGAGCCCGTCGCCCCTCCTCCACGCGCGGGGCCGCGCCGCGCGCACCCGTCGCCCCCCGCCCCACCCCCCCCACCTCGCTACCGCACGAGCTCCACCCAGGTCGCAGGCAGCGCGGTCGGCGGCGCCTGTTTCCCGCCATTGTGCGAAGTGGAGGCTGTGGCCCGCGCGCCGCGCCAGCCGGTCGCCAGCAGCTTTTCAGCAGCGGCTGCTGCAGCCGCCGCTCCCTGAGGCGCAGGGAGGTCAGGCGGCCCGCGTGCCGCGGCTCGTCCTGCGTGGGAGGGCGCGGCGAGGAACGGCCGAAGCCCTGAGAGGAGGAGGCGGAGAAGGGGTGCCGGCCGCCCGGACGCGCTCGCCCCGCGGATCGCCGCCGCCCGGGCAGCGCCGGCCCTTCGGCGACATGCCCTGCGGGGAGGACTGGCTCAGCCATCCGCTCGGCATCGTGCAGGGCTTGTTCGGTGAGTGGTAGCGT